CCATTAATAAATGCAAGAAATGCTTGATATTTGAGGATTTTTTAGCACAAAAATAGCTACCATTTGGCCACTTTGAATAGGATCGTCAAACCAATATAATCGTATATCTATGACATGATGTATAATGAATATTTAAAATTTGAACATAATCGGTCAAAACAAGTCGAAGATATGGCTCTAGAAGCCCATTCATTAAAACAAAATGGCCGCCAGACAGCCATTTTGAATCTGATCTGACAAATAAAATGATGTGCATCAGGAACCCGTAATGTCTAATGTATGCACCAAGTTTGAACGAAATCCATCCAGAAATGCTTGATATTTGATGAATTTTTAGCACAAAAATTACCACCATTCGGCCATTTTGAATAGGATCGTCAAACCAATATATCTGTCTAACTATGACATGATGTATAATGAATATTTAAAATTTGAATATAATCGGTCAAAACAAGTCGGAGATATGGATCTAGAAGCCCCTTCATTAAAACAAAATGGCCGTCAGACAGCCATTTTGACTCTGATCTGAAAAACAAAATTATTTGCATCAAGGTCCCATAATGTCTAATGTATACAACAAGTTTGATCAAAATCCATCCGTAAACAGCTGAGAAATGCTTGATTTTTATGATTTTTTAGCACAAAAATGGCCGCCATTCGGCTATCTTGAATCAGATTGTAAAACAAAATGATGTGCATCAAGGTCCTTTAATCTTTAATGTGTATACCAATTTTGAACAAAATCCATCGGTAAACAGCCGAAAAAATGCTTGATTTTGTTGATTTTTAGCACAAAAATGGCCGCCATTCGGCCATCTTGAATCAGATCGTGAAAGAAATTGACGTGCATATGTATAATATCATGTACGGTGTATGTGTGAAGTTTGATTGTGATTGGTCCAGGCATTTCTAAGATACAGGTCCGGACGCACGCACGCACGGACACACGGAGGTCAAAACATAAGTCCCCGTTTTCAGACTACGTCCGAACGGGGACTAATTACTATAACAAGCACTGACAACCCCATTCATTAATCTCGAATATAGGGAGGTCATCACTGACACTTATTGTAGAATTGTTCGCCAAAACGTTTCATGCTTTTTGTGTAACCATCATTTTCCACTTTGTGAATATGTAGTTTTGACTTGAGCGACACACGTACTGCTGTTCCACATTTTCTCCACGTTTCTTGATCTTGCTTTTTTATTCCACGAGGTTATTTCAGCATGGGCCCACATCCTCTCGTTGCAGAGTGTATAATATTTCTCATCTGTTTCTTTAAGGTAGCGAGAGCGAAAAAACTAGATTTATGAAACACAATATTGTGTGCTTTCTTTATCTTTGGTCCAAATTTTACTGTGCGCGATGCATTTGGTGCGTAATTTCAGTTTATTGCATAAAATCTAGTTGTGGATAAACATGTCCTCCATACATTTACATATCATGTTGAGTGGCAGACTTAAGACAAAGGATTTAATTTGCATATTGATTTGTTGACCATCCGGATTTATTATATCCTATGTAATCTATAAATAGTGTCCGTTACGCAATCGCGTTCGAAGCACAAACAAACATTACGCTATAGAATTCTAAGCTTTTCTCTGTGTTTTTATTAATATAATATAATCATGGGAAGGAGTTCTAAAAATGAAAAAAAATGTCTGACGCCGTTGAAAGACATCTAAATGAAAGTGACCTGGGCTCATATTATAGTCAGCCCTCAGAGTGGTTTGAAGACGAGCCTATCGACAGTAACAACACAAGTTCTGCGCAAAAAAATGCCCTGAGTGATTGTCACGGTGACACCAACAGTTCAGACAACGACGACGAGTTGAAAAGTGTTGTACCCTGACCGTAAAGTAAGAATTCCAGGATATCCTAATTGCGATGGCGATATTTTCTACCATATAAGCCACCTCAGTCCATGGACAAACTCTGAAGCAGCTATAAATCTGTGCTTTATAGTCAGTGGTTTATCTCAAGGCAAAAATACACCAAGTTTAAATAAAATCTAGTAAGTGATTTGCGAGTTAATCTATAAAAGGTAATCTATACAAAGACTGCCAAAGGGTAAAAACAAAAACTGACACCAAGACAGAAGAGTTTGTTTCATTGTACACGTGGTTTATTTTACAACTACGAGTTCAAAAGACGTCATTTGTATTCAACTGTTACTGTTCAGAATATCGACATATGCACGATATTTTCCATTCACCTTCTTCCAGATCACCAGATATTTGCCGACGCCCACCTCAGAGCCATCATCTTTATAAAAAATGTAACTACCACGTTCGTAAGCTGTGTCAGTCTCGATCCCATCGATTTCTTCTGAAGTGACTTTTATTTCCGCCACACCTGTTTTCTTCAATGATTCTAGTATTTCTAACACACCTAGAAATGTAAACAAATACATTACGACATGAATAAGCAATTTTTTGTCTTTAAATGAAGTGGCACATGCTGCACCCCCCCCCCCCCTTCAAAACAAAACAAAGAGACAAATTGGACCAAGCAATATATAAATTAACACAATAAGGACAAATATAAACGATTTCCACAAGAATCATGACTTCAAAAAAAGAAAACATATAAATTAACAACAAAATTCAAAGAGAATTCAACTTTGACATCATGTATTTGCGTATATTACTGATTGACAGACATCAAAAAAGGAGGAGGGTTAACAACACTGCCACTTAAAGAACTAGCTGTTTACCAGGGACGTTCCTATTACTTGTATGCATATGGAAGGCTAGTGTTGTTCTTCATATTAACCTCTAATTACCCTTCACCAGCCACTTACATCTTGATATGGCAATAGTTTGCTGAAACGCGGAAGTGTGTTAACTCAAAGTGTACTGTCCACTACAGAATTCGTTATTTAATAACATCTATTTGAATTGAAAGAATGGATGTAGCTCAAAATAATATATACTGTACGAACGGTTGAAAGCGATATTGCCCGCATTTTACCTGCTAATATATATGGGAATCTTTTCTTAGTAAATAAACTGCAGATATTCAGTAATTATTGTTTTTTGTAATATTCAGATAAGATTTGTCACGAATAAATGTGCTTGGTATGTATATGTTTGGGGTGAAATACCGAGAAGCGTTTTCTCTTCAAAATACCTCTATATAAGGTATATCATTTCAATGCACTACGCATGCTCGGAAGATGTATCACGTGACTTTCTTATACCTCTCTATTTTTAGGCTCTTCAGGTCGTCATCCAGTAACTATGGGTACTATCAGAGACTTATATATAATCACTGTGTCACTTTCCAAACTATCATATTAAGGGTCATGAATAGGTTATATTTTCTGCCACTGATATTTCAGGAATACTATTGATACACAATCGCAATTTTATTATTAAATTTTATTTTAACAAAAAAACGGATGGTAAGAAATCAACAGACTTAATAATCGAGGTTATTAAAATGACTTGCAGCTTTTTATGCCAGATACATCATACTGTTGTTTCTCAACAAATTGTCTGTGACATTGTGTATTTATTCGATTAGATCCCCCATAGTGTTAAATTCAAGTAGTCAGCTAAGGCCGAGGCCGAGCCCAACCCCAAACTCACCATGTTTTTAAAAGGAATGACGCACTGTTGTAAAGAAAAATATAGCTATGATAGACACCATACTATTAGTGCAACCTATGTTAATTTCACTTTCTTTATAATAAAAATACTCAAACCATTCTCTCATATTCGAATGGCGTATTTAAAACCAATCTTTGACACTTCCCCATATACTGAATCCCTGCAGTATTTTAATGCAACACTATTTTTAGTTAGTATTTTAAAAATTGGGAAGTTTTTTGTCCAAATTATTGGGGGTGAGATTCACAGTGTTACAATTTCAAGCTATAATATATGTAAATGTGTGTGGTGGTTGGAACATCAAGCTGCATTTATGAAAATGATGTTTCTTATCGTGCGTGTTTGTCTGAATCTGAGAGAACTGGTGGCACACCACTGCCGTAACGTCTATTGCTAAAGTAGTCACCTCGGTATTGTAAACACGACACACATTCAACGGCGACGACAAAGAGTGGAACGACCTTTATAACTCACGTACTTTAACCTAGCTTTGCAATATATATTGTATAGACGTGCATTCGTTCACGAGTACAATTATTCTTGGTAAACCATATATGTTGCGTGCTATTTACTGAGATTTAGAGTTTGTTAATAGAACAGGCACTAACCTTTCTGACCAAACTTCGTCTCAACGCCACTCGGCATGAATTTACAATCTTCATGGTACATCTCCGTCACCATAGCTTGTATGTCACCAGCATTGTACAACTCAGCACCCCTTGCATGATTGGCTTCAATGACCGATTTTACAGACATCGTAGAAGTGTGTTGCTGTAAATCTGGCGTGCACTGATGTCGTTAGTCTGGCGGGGAATAAAGAGCCACAAAGATATCATTTACCTACTGGTCAACACTCCATAGAGAACGGCTACATACATTCAGCAATGTAGATCATGTGACCCAACACGTCATCAAACCATTTAAATTATTAGGGTATCTATAATTACCTAGAGCTCAAGCCGGGACAAACATTATGCAGCATAGTGAAAAGAAAACTTAGTGAAGTCGGCACTTCAGTTGTCGGGACTGCTTACGTATTGCACTCATTGCACAAACTTCAGTAGAATTTTACATTGCATTTCTTCTAATCTCCAACGATTTCACAGTGACGTAATATCGGCTCGATCAAATTCTCAATAACGGCTTGGTATAAACTGTTTTTATGATTATTTTATTGTAAAATTAAACATATTACAACATATTTTATGTGCAAGTGCTATAATGTGGTATAGTAATGAAGAGAAAAAATAAAACGAAAAGCCTAACATTTGTTGAAAATTTAACTTAATAAAAATAGTCTTTACGACCCCGTCGCTGTAAGATAATTAAATTCTCCCTGCCAACTTCTAAGGCTAAATAAAATAAGATACAAACATTATACAGTGATTGAGAAGGATTAAGCGTACAGAGAATGGCAAAACTGAACGCAACAAAAAAGTTGAATTGAGAGAATATGAAAAACATCCAATGGACATCAACAAATTGATTTGCAATGTTTCATTTTTCTAAAAAAAAAGAGAGCGTAATTCGCGAACAAAATGTACTCAAGCTTGTTCTGTTTTTAACTCGTGGTAATCTTAGAAATGAAACTACAGAGGGCGCCAGAGCGAAAGAGTTTTAGTGAAGATCTTATACATCAGGACACAAAAGACTAACAGAAAGTAAAGGGAGTAAAGTTACAACAGATTTGTGCAGGAAGGGGGTAGGAAACCATCTCGAATAGAACAGAAATTGGTAACCCATCAATACCGGGAACTATCTCTCAATAAATATAAATAGTTATATAAGTCACAAATTGGCGACGATTAATGCCCTTGACATTCTTACTAGGCCTGGTTGGATGCTCAAATCCATCCCAAGGAACATTAGGTTCTGGTTGGAGAATAGTCAACGTCATCCTGATTTGCACTTTAATTTACACTTTTTGTATATAAATTGAATGACAAATTGTGCCAGAGAGCTGCATGTTTTTTTACACTGGACGAGTAGTACATTAAGAATAATGATACACTCTTGATTCTAAAGGGCTGTTCGCATAGACCTGTCAACTTCATCCTCCTTATCACCGTTATCAGTTCTTATTAGATTTGTTGGATTTATGTGGGGGCTGATTTTATGTTGAACAAGCTGAGGATGGATTCGCCTTAGTGCATGCCCGATGAATTACGAAGAAAACATACAAGTCACCAGGCTGAAAAATACATACTTCTATAGCCTTCCTCCCGTTAAAAATTATGTCTAAAACCATGTGCAAAACATTAAGGTAAATTATATCTGAGATTGGTCACTGCTAGCATAGGGGTTGTTGCATTGGACTCATGATCGGCAGACCAATGTCAAATCCTACGTTAGACTGAACACCAAAAGGATCGACCTCCTATTCTGGGTGAGTGTGCTACAGACTCAATGGGAAGTTCAATTCCACTGTCCGGGAATCATTCACTAACAAATGCATTATATCTGTGCTTTTCAGTCTGTAGTTTATCTCAATGCACATATACACCAAGTTTGAATAAAGAGGTATGTGGTTGGTAAATAAATTCAATATACGCAAATTATGTAATTAATATGTACAACCTGGAGACAAAAAATTAGATTCTACAAATAATGTTGAAGGAGAGTTTGGTTTTGTTGGCTATGTCAGGTAGTCATTGGTCGCTTAGCAACCATGCTGTGCGCCACACTATACAACGTAAATATATCTTTTTGAGATCAGTTTGTGATAGGGGAAAAGTGGTTGAGACAGATACACAAACAAAACAGGAATAATAAGGACCGATCTAGCTTAGGGCGTGAACCAAAACACACAGACAGGGAATTACATTAAACTGCAATTATGTGCTTTGTACATGGAAAACAAAAATATCAAAATACGTCAATTGTTACTGTTCAAAATATCGATATAGACACGATATTTTCCATTCGCTTTCTTCCAGATCACCAGATATCCATCTTGGAACCATCATCTTTAGAAAGAATGTAATTTTCGCGATCGTAATCTGTGTCAGTCTCGAACCCATCAATTTACTCCGAAGTGATCTTTACTTTCGCTACACCTGTTTTCTTCATTGATTCAAGTCCTTCTATCACAGCTAAAAATGTAAAATTACTTTACGTCATATTTGAAATGAACTATTATCGTCTTTAAATGAGGTAGTACATGATGCGCCAAACAGACTAAAATAATCAAGAGGTAAGCAACAATAAATCAGTAAAATCAAAACGTACGTTTCTTTAGATTCGTGATTTTAAAGAATAAACATAAAAATAACAAAATAAAGGGAGAGGAGAGGAGTCCGTATTGACATCATGGATTTACTTTCTAGATAAGTCCTTGAAGCCATTATCTTGTCATAGTTGAACTCATGACAAGAATGCGAGAATG